AATGATCGGCATTTACCATTTCAAAGACAGAGACAATCTGAAAAAAAAAAAGATCCCAACATATACTGTTTGCAAGAAACTCGTGTCAAATATATAATACAAGTAGGTTGAAAGTAAACGGATGGAGAAACTTATACTCCTCACATACTAATCAAAAGTGAGTTTGGTGCAGCTCTATTACATCAGAGTAAAGTTCAGGGATAAAGAGGAACACAACATGATCAAAGAATGAGTTCACCATGAAGTCCTGGCAGACCCTCCATGGGTCTGAACACAACAACAGAGCCTCTCAGTACATGAAGGAAAACCACCACAATTGAGTGAAGAGAGAGACCAACTCACTGTAGCTGTAGACTTCACCATGCCTCTCAGTAATTCACAGGATCAGTAGATAATCAGTAAGGATAGAGGACAACTAAAGAATACCATCACGTAAAGAAGCTAATTGATATTGATAAAAGGCTCCAACGTAAGTTGAAAGCTTTCAAACATGCATGATGACACATGTATCAAGATCGACTGTATCATGTGTCACTAAATCAACCTTAATAACTTTAAAAGAATAATTTCTTTGACAATAATAAAATCAAACTGGAAGTCATTGACAGAAGAATAACAAGAAAATCCTTAGAAACTAAACAAACATTTTTAAACAAGGGCACAGATTTAGGAACCTAGCTTTAAAATTCCGTGATTAATCCTGGCACTTAGTGTTACCATTAGGATATTATTCCCAGAGCAATAAGATCTGTCTATCTGTACTTGAGTACAGTATATAGGCACTTGTTTACACTCCCCTGGGGGAACAAATACCTCTTAACCCAGTCACTACAACCCATGTCAATATGGACCCCTCCCTGTTTCATTTAACCTTTATACCACCTGTCCCAGTGCTGACTCTCAGCAGAGATACCTGTGCTGATTGGCACCAACACCAGCTGAAGGTTCTTGAGGAAATATTTGTGTCTGAGAGGACTTTAAAGAATTCATAGTGGCCAGAGTTAGGGAGGGCTCACAGGAGATGATTATAAAGAGGCAGAAAGAGCCCAGGTCAAGAAAGGTCCCAGGTGTCTGGGTAAGAAAGGTGAGCACTGGGAGGCAGTGGGAGGCATTGAGACAAATCAAGTGTTCAGGTCAAGAAAGGTCCCAGGTGGCTGGTTACCCAGAATGTGAGCACTAGGAGGCGCTGGGACAATTTAAGCAGAGGAATAACATTTCTAAATTATGACTCTAGGGGAGAGCAGTGCAGGGAGGAGCCTGAAGGCAGGGGCTGTGTCAGTGTGGAGGGAGAGCGACCCAGGTGAGAAATGATGAGGACTCAGGCAGCGTTACACGGTTTTACGAATGGGCAATGAGCCTTCCTAGAGATAGCATTTTTGCGGATACCATGAAAGAGGTCAAGGCAATCAGAGCATAAATTAGACGTTCCAATACTGCTTAGCAGATAACATGCAATGAAATGAGGTAAGGCACTTAACGTGCCTGGTACTCTTAATAATATCCCACCCCTAGAAAGGGCAGTTTACTCCATAGTAAGGAGGCTACAAGTAGGGGTTACCTGCTTACAAGCATGAGCTACAGAGCCTCCACGTGTCCCACTCCCCACCTCGCTCCCGGGAGTCCCTTGCCCTGCAGATCAGAGTTTGGGTCACCAGGTGACGAGGCACCTTCGCCCTCTCCTACCCGCTGAAGTGTCAGATGAGCCTGTTCAATGTTCAGAGGGAAGAAGTTGCCAAGGAAGGGCAGGCGCCAAGGCCCTGGCGGGTAGTTCTTTGGTCGCCGGCTTTTGAGGAAGTCAGCGAAGAACAGAAAGGCAACGGCACCCAGCAGGAGGGTCTGGGGATGGAGCACTGCCCCGAGGGCAGCCTGCAAGAAGCCCATCGCCAGGAGCAGGCCAGGGATGACCGCTAGCTCTTCTGTGGCCTGAAAAGGTGACCAGCCCTGTCCCGTCCCTTGCTTGGGACTTGTTCGCCCCACCCCTGACCCTCAACTCCCCCGCCCCGCCCCTCCGCCCCGCCCCTCCGCCCCGCCCCGCCTCGCCCACTCGGCTCCTCCTTCCAGCAGTTCCCGCCACCAACCCCGCCCTCCCCTCAGCGCCCTGCCTACTAACTAGCTCTGGCCTCAGCGCCCCGCCCCCCAACCCCGCCCCTCAGGGACCCGCCCCCTGCAGTGCCCAGGGAAGATGCCAGATGCTGCATTCTGGGGAGAACACAGGATAGGGGATCTTGGAAAAAGTCCAGGCTATAAGCAGTTTTTTTCATAGTTAGAAAGCTCATATTTCTCAAAAACCTGGCACTTTTCCTTAAATGCATTTCTGGGAGTGCCACGAAGATTTGAGTTCCTGTTTCAATCACTTTTTCTTCCAGTGATTGGAACTGTGCCTGGGACAGCAGCACCTAACACTTCTTGGGTCTCTGCTACATGCCAGGCAACACACCTGCCTTTTTACAGAAACTATGGCATTATGCAGGAGACGCTCTTGTTGGTCTCATCTTGCAGGTGAGGAAACAGAGAGGTTCAGTACTAGGGACCTGGTGAGTAACTGAACCCACTGGTCTGAAACACAGCGAAAGGAGGTCCTGGATTTGAAAGTGATGTGGGGATTAAACAGCTCTACAGGAAAGCCCCAGCCCTGAGCGGAGTCCATGATAAGTGCCTCATTACCACATGTTAAAGGACTGTCTCAGTCCTGGTCCTTTTTGGTTTGCTCTGAGGCTCCTCTCTAACTGAGTCTCCAGAATGGAAGGCCCCAGCTTCCAACCTGCCATAGTGCCCTGCAGGGGTCTACTGGTGTCTCAGCATCTGTGACTCCAAACATGAAGCATAGTTCTTGAATAATACAGCAGAGTACACACACATGTACTCAATGTAGAGGTGCACATTCGGTATAAAATCTTTTAATAAAAGGAAATAAAACAGAATTGAAGTGTCATTCTGTATTTCCAAGAGGGATACTCTTCGGAGGTTAGCTTATATATTTCCAGTCCACATTTTCCTGTTTTACCACAAGCGTTATGCATCCATGCAGTGTTTCTAATATTTATATGTTATTTTAAAAAGACTTATTTTTTTTTCAGAGAGATCAGCACTGATTGAGGAGAAAAAACAGCAGAGAGGAACAGACAGGAAGGATGGGTGCCCACTGTGGAAGTGGAGATGAGAGACAAGATGCCAGGGAGGGCCTTTTCCTTCCTCGCGGCAAAGGAGGCCATTTAAAAAGACTTATTCTACAACTGCTTGTCTCTTCCTTGGTATTATGTGTTTGAGATTTGTCCTGATTGATTCATTCATAATAATTCATGTAATAGCTAATCATTGCCAAAAAGGAAGAAACAAACAGAATAAGAGGTAGGTGGTTGTCTCTTGCTAGTACCACAAAATTTGTTTACCCATTTCGTTTCAATGAACATTTGGATTTGTTATCTTCCTTTTCTTCTTACAAGTTTTTGAGTCTCCTGCTTGGGTGATTAGATTGAGGAAGACAAGGTCCTGAATGTTTGGGAAGTTTAAGGTCAAGGCATCATTAGACTGGTTTTATTCTGAGACTATTGCTTGGCCTGTTTTCTAGAAATTCAACTTTCCAATGAATTACAGAAAAAGTGCACACATATGGGCTCTCCCTGCTATTCTCTCCTTTACCGGGCAAGATGGACCAAAGCCTCTTCTCTCACATTAACAACCCAACTTTTCTTCCAGATGCATTTTTTTCTTGGCTCTCCCTGGCAGCTTAGGTGGCTCCAGCCAAACACCTCACCCACTCTTTTCTCTGTTTCCCATTCTCAGGTGTCAGCTGCATTGGCCTCTCTCTGAATCCCAAGGCACAGGAAGGATAAGCACCATGGCTTCCTGGTGGGTTGTGTTTTAGGCTTTTTAAAGTACTCAGGTCTAATCACCTTGTATGGTTTGGCTGTTCTTCCGCCTCCAAAACTTAGTTTGAAACTTGGTCCCCAGTGCTGTAGTGATGTAAGGTGACACATAAAGAAAGGTGATTGGGTCATGATGGTGGATCCCGCAGGGGTGAATTAATGTCCTTACTGAGGCAGTGCGTTAGTTATGGAGACAGTGGCCTGTCAGGAAGTGAGCCTGGCACCTTGAGCTTTCTGTATTTTACATATGCTTGCTTGCAGCTTCTGCTTTCTATCATTTTAGGACACAGTACAAATGCTGGTGTCAGAAGCTGCCACCATGCCCTCAGACTTCCCAGCCTCCAGAACCATGAGCAAATAAACTTGTCTGTATAAATTATCCAATGTTAGTCATTCTGTTATAGCAACAGAAAACAGACTAAGATGCCACTTTAGGGAACATAAAAAGATATTTTGATCAGTTCTAGTCCAGTTTTCCCAAGGCTTCTGTTTGTTTTCTTCATTTGCTATGTGGTCAATAGTCCACGTCCTGTCATTGTTAGCTGGCCTTCCGTGAGCATTGTGTTCTCACATCAGCCACCACCATAAGGTTTGTAATTTGGAATTCCCTACCAGTACACTAAAGTACTCTAACAAGGACCATCAAATGTCTCCAGTCTAGTTGCAAGCAAAGATCACACCTAGAACAATAGTTAAATCCCACGTGGAAGGGTCTGACAACCCATACCTGATGGAAGATTTAAGGCAAAGAGGTATTCTTAAAGAGTCAAGTTTATCCCCTAAACCTTATTCCCAGGTTGGTAAGTGGGCTCACACTCTCCTTGTCCTGGGTTCAAGGCCCAAGTAGTGTTTCTTGATGTAAATCATAGAAACTGCTTCAACAACGCTTACTTTCCCTGTCTTTAGTAGGGAATAATACCTGCCCTGCCAACTTCTCAGAGAACTGGTCTGAAGCAGGAACAAAAGAGGTAAGCACCGTGCTACCAAAGGAAACAGGCTGTATGCCTCCCCTCCCACTCTGCTCCCAGGGCCCAGTATGAAATCTGATGGACTACTTTGTACCACGTTACCCTGAGCTATCTCTATAGGCCAGAATCAAATACTCATTTAACAAAGGAGGCGGGAAGGAGGCACTTTATAGGCATCATATTTATGCTGTGCTTTATGGTTTCCAAGTCACTTGACATCCACCATTTCTTTTGATTCTGACAAGAACTTTCTTTAGGGAAGGAATCATTTTCCTTTTTTCATTTCTTGTATGAAAAGGTAAATCGTTCAGTATATGAATGTTTGTCCCAAGGATAGTTCAGGGGACATGGCAGAGCTGGGATTTGGATATAATTTCCACTGAGTCCAATTCCTTTGATCTTTCCTGGGGTCACCATCATTTTGTCCCCTCACATCTGTGCGTTCACCAGTGTCTTCCAAACATAGTCCATTTCTTCCCATTTTCCCCTCTCTTTTCCTTTCCTAACAACTTCAACCTCACCCCCGAGGAACAGCGCAGAGCTGGTGTTTGACTGGGGTAAGGGTGAGGCCTTCTCTGAACTCCAGGCTCAGCTTCTCATTGTCTGGGGCCTTGAAGGTAAATTTTTGCATAAAGGAAATGAAGAAAATGAACAGCTCAGTCCTGGCCAACTGTTCTCCAAGGCAAGCCCGCTTTCCTGAAAGACAAAGTCAAAGATGAGTTATCTTCCTGGGTGGGCTTACTGGGAGCCTCACCGACAGCCTGTAAGACCTGAGCAGAGCAACCACTTGGCTTTACCCAAGCTCAGAGTCAGATGCCTGCAGAGCACAGGCAGGTGAGGTTCTGGGATGACACTGTAGATGGGGACCACAGAACTGGAAGTCTGGGCTGACCTAGAAAGTAAGAGTTTAGACTAACGGCTTTAAAGACTCATCCAACAAACAATAAGACAAAAGCAGACAACAAAACAATAACAAAACCCCATGTCAGTGTTTTCCAGTCCTTAAAAGGAAACTTTCCAGATTATAACAAGTGACCATCAGAGCAGGGACTCTGCGTGCCCATCATCTTTCCCCTAGCCATGGTGGGTCTCCTCCCCAGCTGCTGAGACCCCATGGGCATGCACAGGCCTCCACACTGGAACCACTCTGGCCTCCCTCCTTGCCTGGTCCTCACACACACTGGTCCTGTCCCCATACAAGCCACTGCTTTCAAAGTGGGGCCCGAGGCTGTGTCCAGCTCTCCACAGCTCACACTTGGCACTGCCCTGGTCACGTACACAACCTGTTATGTGTATGTGATCTAGAATCAGAAGACAGAGCTGTAACTCAATCTTCCCACTTTCTAGTCATGTCTTGGGGGCAAATTAAGTAACCTCTGTAGGTATTAGTCAATATGTACATATGTTTAAGATGACAACTTGATTTTACATATTGTGCAGGCCACACTGGTGTTTTTCAACCTTTGTTATCTGATGGCACACTTGAACCTTTTGTGAACACTTAAATTATGTTGATCAAAAAGAAAAAAAAGAGAGTGAGTAAAAAATAAACAATTTACTTAACTGTGCTTTGAAATTCCTTTGACAATAATTTAATTAATATCTTTAAAAATTTTCGTAGCATACCCAAGATCCACTCATGGAACACCAGTGTGCTGTGACACACCAGTTGAAATTCACAAGGTTGCACACTGAATCAAAGTCAGTCAAATAATTTATACCAAGTATATTATTATAAATAAAACCAAGTATTTTAAAGTGCCATTGGGATCATTGTAAAAATTCTAGCTGTATAATAGCTTATGCTTAACTTGATATGGTTAATTCACACACACACACACACAAAAGAAGAATACAATTTAAAGGATGCCCTGTGATAGGCTCACAGTGACTCACACTTACAATCTTTGCACATTGGAAGACTGAGGTGGGAGGATTGTTTGGGCTAGGAGTTCAAGACCAGACTGAACAACAGTGTGAGACCCTATGTCTACCCAAATAGAAAAAGATTATCTAGGCATGGTGGCAGGCGTCTGCAATGAGAGGCTGAGGCAGGCAGATTGCTTGAGCCCAGGAGTTTGAAGTTTCAGGGAACTATGATCATGCTACTTCACTCCAGCCTGGGTGACTGAGTGAGACCTTGTGTCTAAAAAGATTAGGAGTAGAATATAAATGTCTTACCACAATAAATAGGTCAGTGAGGTGATGGTTATGTTAATAAGTTTGATGTAAGCTTTCCACATTGTATATCAAATCAGCACATTGTACCCCATAAATGCATTAATGTACACAGTTATGATTTAATAAAAAAAGAAAAAAGAAAAAGCAATGAAAATAAGAAATAATAGGTGAACTTTCAATGAAACTTTTGGGTGGAAGTATGGTTAAAATGGCTTTCTGCACATTACAGTTCTTCACTCTGCTCCTTTCTATAATGTGCCCTTTATTCTGAAATAATTTCAAATGTACAAAAACTTGCAAAAATAATACAACTTGTTTCTTCTCAGTTAGCTGAGAATAAATTGCTTACATCATGCATGCAATCGGTTGTATTTACTAAACATAATGACATTACCCAATGTAATCACAATATAATCACCTTAGCCAGGAAATTAACATTGATGCATTATATCATCTTATCTCATACCCCTGTCAGGTTTTGCCAGATGTCTCCACAATGTCCTTTTTAGAAAAGAATCCAGTGTGGTATCTTGGGTTGCTTTGGCTGTCATGTCACTTTAGTCTCCTTTAGTGTGAAGTAATTTCTCACTTTCTATGTAACTTTCATGGCTCTGGACTTTCTAAAGAATACAGACTAGTAATTTGTATATGTCACTCATGGTTCCTCCTGATTGGATTCAGGTGTAATGTTCTGCATTTTTGGTGGTGAGATCACTGAGGTGTTGCTGCGTTGTTCTTATTTTATCCTATTCTGGTGGTTCACAATTTTGATTTGTCCCATTATGGGTGATCACTTGATTAAAGAGATGTCTACTATTTCTCCTATATAAAATTCCTTTTTTTCTTTGTAACTAATAAATACTTTGACTCTATGCTAAGAAGCTATTCCTCCTTAAACTTTCATCTACTAGTTTCCACTCCTATTTCTTGACCAAATTATTTATTAATGAATGTTGCCAAATTGTGATTTTTAAAATTCCATCATATCTTCCACATTATTTAGTTAGTATTGCACCAAAGGCAAAGCTTGACCTCTCCTCATTTATGTACTCACTCTTTAATTTATGTCAATATAGATTCATAAAATTCCTATTTTTATATAAATGGTTATAATCTCTTACTACCATTACTTGTTTAGATGCTTAAAATATTCCAGACTTGACCATTAGATACCTGCCCATTCAACCTGGCATTTCCTGCCTTTTTGGCACAACAATATCTTCCAGGTTTATCTCACACTTTCTCTCCCCCAGCTCTGGAATCAGCCATTTTTCTGAACGTTCTGGTTCTTGTTAGTGTCTAATGTCATGTAGAGATCAAGGTCTGGGTGTGCTCAGCTCTGTCCAGATGCTGCTGCTCCTGCATCATCTCAGTAGACAGAGCTGGGGATATATGTATGTATGTAATGTGGGTATATGTTGAAATGTGTGTATATATACCCATATTTACATCTATGTGTCTGTATGTATTAAAAATCTGAGGATATGCCAATTACCTCCTGTTACAATTCAACACTACAGAGTGCATTCTATGTTCTTCCCTATTTCTAACTTTCTCCCATTATCCTCAACATATTTAAACTTTGGGTCAGTATCCCTTCTGTATAACTTATCTGTCATCACTGCCATGGTCACTGTCCCAACTCCTCTTCATCTTGCTTGTGCTCTGAAACCTGCTCTAAGCTACTGCTGCCCCCTCTTAGAGCAAATTTCCCCCTCCCCCAGTCTGGGCTGCAATACCCCACACAGTGACTGTCACCAACTCTCACATGTGCATTTTTATTTACTGGCTTTCTCCCTATGTATTACATAAACATTTCAAGGAAAGAAAAAAAATGAGCGTAAAAAAAGTGTCAAGAAGAAAATAAAAAATATATATGCAATCCCAGAATGGAGACCAAATCATTATTAACATTAGCCACATTTCCTCATCATCCTATGAGGGTTCCCCTAGACATTGTAACAGGCATTATTCCTATTCCTATTCTTCCTAGAAGAATTCATATGAGAAAACTGGATCTAGAAAGTCAGGAATGAAGGTTAAAAATGAATTCCATCAATAAGTAGCTATGTGACTGTGGGTAAACCATATACTCTTATAGTGCTGAACTTTTCTCACTTGTCAAATATATGAAATGATCTCTCTCCTGAATTACATAGCTGGACAAGTATCCTTCTTGGGAAGTGAGAAGCAAGTATGAATCTGCTTTTAAAAGCATGAAAACTAGGGCTATTAGATTTCAAAGCTTTGGCTGGATGAAGATACTTGGACTCTTGTCCAAGAGTGAGAGCTAGAGTAGGGTGGCATCTCCCTGAGATCTCGTGAAGGTTGTGTCCCTGAGTCTCAGCACTCCCTGCTGTGATCCGTGCCTAAGGTTGTGAGGGGACTTGGAATGTTCAACAGAGTAGATGAGAAAAATGTCTGGGAAATGTCTAGATAGAGATCAGCAGCTTAAAGACAAGATATTAAAAAAAGCTATAAAGTAATTAATCATTGCCCTGCAGAAATCCTGTAGCTGCAGCCACCCTGACCTGTAGACTATAACTTTCCCTCATTAGCTCCTGTCCAAAGTATTCTTTGATCTGTAGCTTAATGCTTCCCTGTCCTTCAGCCTGATAGCTTTCTTCCTTGAACAAAGAACTGCCTGTTTAATTGAAACATGAAACTATTACCTTCTCACTTTGTGCCTTATGTATACACACCCTCAAAAATCCTTAAATTAAAAGCCTTGAATTTTTCTGCTCAAAATGGCACCTGATAGCCTCACTAGAATGCGTCACAGTGCCATTTCTCATGGGCGTGTGCAGGTATAATTTCACAGCACCTTCTCTCCCTTTGCCTGCCAGGCCCTGGGTGGTTAGGCAAAGTTCCTTTGTGGGAGAACTCCCAATCCGCCACCCTGTGGCTCATTTCCCAAGTCGCAACAGACCCTCTTCCAGCCAGTGTTCATCACTAACCAACCTGGTCAATTTCCTTAGCATTAATATGAGAGAACTGACCTTGGTTTTTGATAAAGTTCTTTTCAAACTAATGACCTATGACCCGATGATGTACTTGGACAATGAAGAACTGGCCTGTTGCACTTCATGAAGCTGCCTGCTCTATTGTTGGGTCAAATAGGAAGAATGTAAATGGAGAAAAGTAAAGACACATGTGCAGATTATGCACCGTCATGATCCACACATGCCTGTATCTCCCAAGGGAAGGGAAGCTGCTGCCCACCTCATTACTCCAGGGAGGCTGTCTTTAGCAAGTGCTACACTAAGAGTAAGAAAAAGCAACTGGGTGCAATGATGGGGCATGTGAAGAAACCAGGCAGTCATGCTGACATTTGCTAGCTCCTTGGATTCCTCAGCTCCTATTCTGTTTAACTGGTCCTCGTTCCATCACACCTTCTGCAGGTTTCTCCAGAAAAATTGCTGGATTTCATTCTCCTTGTCAGAAAGAGAGATGAAGGGAGCACAATAGCTCCAATTTCCACTCTATATGAATACTTCTCACTTGCAAGGTGATGT